TTTAATGTTATGCTGCTTTGCTCGCTTCAGACGCGTGGCTGACTGCAAGTGCTGAGACGCTACAGTACAGTGCGATTGGTGGTTATTGTTATTTTGTACAATTGGTTGTAAATTGAATGGGATACTGTTACATTTTGAATCATTAAGTACCTAAATGTGTTCGAAAATTAAGAAAGAAGAGTTTTTAAAGACTGATTTTCAAGATTCTTTAGAGTAGAAGAAAGTTAAGCGGAATCATTTAGCACTCTCATTTACTAATGATTGGGAACAGAAGTATGGCCATAAAAATACGGATTGATGATGACCCAGTTGATTACTAAAAAGGACAGATAATCACAGAATCAAAGCAAATTGCTCAAGTGCTGCAACAGTTCCAAGATAGGAAGGCACTTCAGATATTAAAAGTCACATTTTTGGGTTGAAAGGTAGCACAAACCATTTTAATGTACATTTGATCATTTTATCTATACTTATAATAAATCTGTAGAGAGGTCAATTCTGTACATGAAATATATTTTCAAAATAACTATTAGGGGGTGATTAGTGATCGATACTGATGCCAAAAATGCAATCAGTAAAATTTTTGTCTGTCTGTCTGTCTGTCTGTCTGTCTGTCTGTCTGTCTGTCTGTATGTTCCTTATAGAAACAAAAACTACTCGACGGATTTTAACGAAACTTGGTACAATTATTCTTCATACTCCTGGGCAGGTTATAGGATACTTAGGAATTCCCACGGGAACGGGCATTAGCGGGAAAATCCTTTTGTATGAAAAATCTAAACCGCTTAAGTTAGACGCTTGAAATTTGGCAAGCAGGTACCTTAGTAAACTTAAAGCTTAGTTATAACAGGATATTGCAAAATTCCTACGGGAACGGGAATTAGCGAGAAAAAACATTTGTATGAAAAAATCTAAGCCACGTAAGATAGACGCTTGAAATTTGGCATGCAGGTACCTTAGTAAATTTAAAGCTTAGTTACAAATATTGCAAAATTCTCACGGGAACGGGAGTTAGCGGGAAAAAACATTTGTATGAAAAAATTTAAACCGCGTAAGTTAGACGCTTAAAATTTGGCATGCAGGTACCTTAGTAAACTTAAAGCTTAGTTACAACAGGATATTGCAAAATTCCCACGGGAACTGGAATTAGCGGGAAATTCCTTTTGTATGACTGACTCACTGACATGCCCACGCACAGCATAAACGGCTAAACGTAGGCACTTGAACTTTATAAGGGACGTAGCTTAGGTACCGTAGAGGTGCACTAAGAAAGGAATTCCCGAAATTCCCACAGGAACAGGAATTACCGGGAAAATCCTTTTGTATAAAAAATCTAAACCGCTTAAGTTAGACGCTTGAAATTTGGCATGCAGGTCCCTTAGTAAACTTAAAGCTTAGTTACAACAGGATATTGCGAAATTCCAACGGGAACGGGAGTTAGCGGGAAAAAACATTTGTATGAAAAAATCTAAACCGCGTAAGATAGATGAAGGGGGTAAAACGGGATCCACGCGTACGAAGTCGCGGGCGGCCGCTAGTTAATAATATAATTGGCACATGCCAATGGCAAGATTCATTTAAATAATCTGCCCCAAAAAGACCAAACTCACATCCACCTCACAACGCATCCGTCCCTAATTACCCCCTCAATAAACGTTCAAAGTTTCAGAATGAGGCTTATTTCGTCCCCATTCGCAGTTCAGCACGAGAGACCACTCGAGTATTAACATACTCGCTCAAAGCAAACTAACCGGTTCCGTAAAAAATTCTAACGTATTTCACGCATTCAGCCGGTATGGGGCTAATTAAAATGGCACAGAGGTTGGCTACGGAGTGGCAGGTAGCTTTGAGGCTCACAACGTTTGTTGGGTTTCATTTTTTAATGAGGCCGTATTCGGTAGAGCCGCGGGTTGGCGGCCCGCCTCTTTGTGTATGGTGGTACCAAGTGTAGGGAGTTTGGAGGGACTTTCCTGGATAGTTTGGGAAATTGAGTAGAGATATGATGATTGAAATTATTAAAAACTATTGTATTTTTAATAAAATTTTGTAATTGTTTGCTTATTTTGTGTGGTGTGCAATAAACGTTGAATAATCCTGTCAGTCATTAACAGAAAAGTTTAAAATATTGCTAAAAATCATTTTATTTGTGTTACTAGAGCGCCAACACAAAAAGATGTAGGTATTTGATATCACAAATTGCCGGATCTAGGGCTAAATACACATACTTAACTAAACCTGTCAGTACAGTGATTACTGACAAAATAAGTTTCAGCATTATGGTAAAAAGTATATTCGATTGTGTGTTGTCAAGGATTGCAGCCCACCTCTCTGTGTAAAATCGTTTTTGTGAGTTTTTCAAGGTAATGTGTGTTAAAATTACTACAAATATTTGGCTGAAGAATTTTACTTCTGTAGTAAGAAATTATTTTTATTTCGATGGAAAACTACACAAAAAAAAACTTGCCTAATTTTTAAACTTCATAATTTGAAGTAAAAATATAACTTTAACTTCAATGTCCGGTTGAGAGGCTATAAACTAGAGTCACAGGGCACGCAAAGCATGAGTCTGTGTTTGGTCCTATTAAGGTTTTAAGTTTCGGGAAACACTGTCCTTTTGAATTTGCTTACCAATCTCTAATCAAGACTGCTTTATGGTGATAAGCTGCGAAAGCTATCGTTGGTGTTAGCTGAAGACCTTGTCCCCATTGGTACCTATAGGTAAGCTGCCTATCTCGATATCAAACTAAACAAAAATACTAATTTTAAACTTGCCTGTTAGAAATTAATTATGGATAGAATTTGTCCGGTAATGTTGTCCGATTAAAAGGCTAAGGTAGAGTCACAGGGCAGGCAAAGCATGCGTGTGTGTTTGATACTCATTTATTCAACGCGCTCCCGGCGCAGCTAGTATGAAGGTGCTGCGCTTAGGGAAACACTGTCCTTTTGAAATTGGTTACTACCCTCTAGTCAACCAAGAGGGCTTTATATGGAACATAGGCTGCTTAGCTGAACACATCTCATATTATGTACCTTTTGTATCAAAGAACTGTTATCTTCCACGGAAAGAAACCATGTACACTGGACCGCAAAGAAATGGAATCGGCTAGAAAATCTTCTATCCAGCTTTACGAAACAAAACATACTAGTAAAACTACGGATTTTCATTTATTGAAAATAAAAAGCTCCAATTAATTTAGTCTTTATTTCATAAAGCTAGGTCAGTTACTTTTGAAGGTATTAAAGATTTTGTAACCGACCCTTTTTCTTTGCGGTCTAGTGTATTATTTCAATATTTAATTGATTGATTAATAGATATTTTATCGCACCTACCTCACACAAAACTATTGCTACCACTGACTATTGCGAGAAATGTAAGACTTACCTTTGTTTCAACTAAATATTAACAATGCCTAAGTAACATAACGGATGTTTTTACATTGTTGTTGTTGTGTACCTATTTCTGTTAAAAATCCAAGTGTGGTATGTACCAAACTGTTGATGTCAACACACAGTAATTTTATCTTATAGAGTAATTTTGTCTATAAGATAAAATTACTATTCGCCCACAGTGTGATTACTTAATCGTGTGTTCGTTCATGGCTAATAATAAAAGGTTCAGTTCACAGAAGATCTTTTATATTACTTAAACAAGTTTGTTTTTACACAATTTAGTAGGAATAATATTATCCTTTTTAGTTTGGGAAGGTTCTTAGCAAAGCCCGCCGCCGTCCGGTCGTATCAATATTTTTTTACTCTACTCCTTCTTCGTTTTAGAATTTAGTAAGTGAAGAAAACAGTAAAAGTAATAACACATTAAAGTAGGTAAGTGACTCTACTGATTTTATTTTACATTTACTTTGTTTCATCAAGATAGAGAAAATGGTTTCATATAGGCAATTACTGTACCAGCTATATCTACATGATAGCACATAGCGCATAATAATAATAAAAAGTGCTTTATCTTTCTCAGTTATGACAATGTCGTGACTAGATTCGTCCAGTACGAGTTGTATACTTGAAACTAGGATATTACAGGTGAATTTTTTCAACTTTCACTCTTAAAAAAATAATTAGGAACTTTTTGAACATTCTAATTAGAGAATAAATGTTGCATTTATCATACAGTACTTTTTGTTTAAAAATATTCGGTATTTTCTAATAAGACAGTCTCGGTTCAGCGCCATCTATCGGTGAGTAGCTATTGCGTCAAGCGTCCGCGAGATGGCACTAGTGAAATATGAAACGTTCCTATAAGACTTTTTGAGCTTTTATGCAGTTCCCTTAAGGGTTCTCTAGCCCTTTTAAATATTACAAATTCAACTTTGAAATAATTTACCAGTTTTTCGATTTATTTTCGGACTTGGTAGAGAAGACATATAATTTAGGCTGCTTAGGCCCAGTTTTTTGATTCATAGTTAAAATAACAAATTGTTAAATTTTGCTACTAATGGTTAAATATTAACAAAATGTTAACTAATAGTTAAAAAATGTACTAAAAGTCAAGCTAACCGTTGTTCGAAAAACATTTTTTTCTGATATCTAACCACTTGTCATTTGACATCTGTCAAATTTGACCATTGGTTATTTTAACTACGAATCAAAAAACCGGGCCTTAGTTAGTCTTGGTAGGCCTTTCAAGTTTTTCAGTTTGATCTACCTCACTACTTACTTATTTTAATAATTCTCATCTTCTTGTTTACCTGTTTACCACAAAGCTTTTCCTGTTTAAATACATATTTTATTGAAAAAAGAAAATTTTTATTTTTTAGCTCATCCCCTTCTAAGTTTTTTACCTAAATGATTTTATTGATTATGAATGAATGTTTATAAAAATAGTTGTTCCATTTATAGTTCTTATTGCTATAAAGTTACACAAAACTATTTAATCGACTTATTTTTACTGGTCCCAAAGTCCCAAACCCAGCTCATCAATCCATAATTCAATAAATCCCCTACCAAACGCCTTGCTAACTTATCTGTCAAGCAGAAAACAAAGAAGAAATTCCAAACACGAAACAATGAAAACTGCTGTCAGTTGATTTTCGGACCACCTTACAAAGTCGTAGTGACAATATTTTTCGGTTTTACAATGCCAAATCCGGTGTAAAAATTGTGTATGTGGTGTGTAATAGACAGTGCGCTAGTGAGATGATCCGGTGGAGGTACTGCCTGGTTCTGGCAATGCTGCTGCTTCTGCCGACGAGGACTGGCTCCAAGCTGGACGACGATGAGGAGGAGGAGTGAGTTGTGGTCCTCAATTTGTATAGTCAAAAGCCTTAGAAGATTATTACAGGTAATTCTGGAGTGATTTTACGTCGGAGAATGAGACGGCTAGGTTATTTGTCAATGCAAGTGAATTGGCAATTTCTTCCATGAGATAAGGATATCAATGATGTTAAACAGAAATTGGCAAGAACATGCTTCCTTGGTATGGCTTTTGCTTGAGATGTTTAGCTCGGATTGCTCTCGGTGTACCTATTAAGCAACAAATATCAAGCAAGAAAAATAATTTTAGAGGTCAAAGTCCACCTGTAAATATCACCCTGCTTATTATAATGACGTGAAAATGATTGGTTTCTTTAGTAATAATCTAATTTAATTTATGAAATTGGCGAGTAACTATGTACTTCGATGTTGAATTATACTGATAATTTCCTAATATTATTAGTAGTACAAAGATCAGATTGGTTGGTTGCTTTGCTGATTGGAATCTCACTGACTGCCAGTAAAAGTGAATTAATTACCACCACGTAGATTTTCAACTTATTTTCCTTTACAGTCGAGGTGAAGACGGCGACGAAGACGACGATGACGATGAAGATGATGACGACGATGACTCCACAGAGAAAGTAGAGCACGTGGCAGGTCGGAGGGCTCCAGCAGTGATGCCTTCGCCTAAAGCCCTCATGGTCACCAGAACGGTCAAGAAACGGTCGCTGGAGTGCTACGTCTGTGCTTTCAAGGCAGAGACTCAGTTGAGGGCGTGCCTCGATCCTACTAAGTACAGGTTAGTTGCAGTGATCAGCAACTTACGATTTAGAAGGTGATGCCCACGACCATGGCCCTTATATGGTCAAAAGAACGGTCAAGTATTTATTGCTGTTGACGTGTTCAAGGTTGAGACCCGGTGGAGGGCGTGCCTGGATCCTACTAAGTACAGGTAATTTAAAGTGATCAGCAACCACTCATTTAGAAAGTGATGCCTTCGCCCAAAGCCCTGGTCACCAGGACGTCAAGATACAGTCGTTGGAGTGCTACTGTCTGCGCGTGTAAGTACGAGACCCAGTTGGGGATATGCCTGGACCATACGAAGGACAGGTAACCTGAGGTGATCTCAGCGACAAGCAAAAAAAGATAATTTAGCGTTCTACTTTAGATGCTGCTGACATGAATTAGAAAGAAAGAAGAGTCGATATTTTTCGTTCTCTTTGTGGAAATCCTTGGGGGAGGTCTTTGTTCAGCAGTGGACGTCATTTGGCTGAAATTCTTCGTTTGTTTCAGCCAAACGACGTCCACTGCTAGGCAAAGGCCATGGCTTTCTACAACGACCGGTTCTTCGCGTCCCGAATCCAGGTATTTCCCGTGACCTTCACCATATCGTTGGTATTCTTATACCAACTATATGGCGATGATAGGGATTCAGTGGACAAAGGAAATGCAAGTCACTTATTTATTGTATTGTTTCCAGGGTGCACACAATAACATGTCACAGCGCCGAAGACAAATGCTTCACATCGGTCATCTCAAAAGGAAGCACCTACGAGGCGGTGGTCCGAGGCTGTCGCTCCGGCTGCGTCGGGTCGCCCGAGACTACTTGCTGTGAAGTAAGTGCTTTCATCCTTTAATGTAAAGGAGCTTACACTTGGGAAAGCATATTCTAGACTAGGCCCAGTTGAAGACATGGCATGACATGACATGACATGACAGACAAATTTTAGCATCCCAATTTATTAAGAGCGTTGTAGCAAAAAGTTGGCGTTCGAATTTTAGGTTTTTATTGCTTGACGTCGCGTAGTGAGTGCGCAAACTGCATTTATCTGTACAATTTCAACGCTGCGTCGACTAAACAATCTTAATCCGTAGTTGTATCGTACCTAAGACAGTACATCATACATAATAATAAAAAAATAATGTATAATTTACCTATTTGATTTTTTCTCAGATCAGACTTTTAGCAAAATCAAGTTACGTAATTAATGTATTTTTTACACTAGTAAATCCCGCGACAAGTTTTTAATCTTTAAATTGAGTAAAGTAATAAGTTGATGGGTTTGAAAGAATTTATGTTTTATTTTATTCTTTTTACAGCATCAAAAGGTTGTTTATGAAAAATATTTACTATCTAAATTTTACTTTTGACTTTTTAGTTTCTATGATGCGGGATGGAAAAATTAAAATTTATTCTGATTTTGTGACGTTTCCGCACATAAATATGGATAGGTTAAATAAATAGAATGAAATGTATGAAAACGAGCGTGCCATTTTTTAAACGTTATCTATAATATCTGTGTCCATCAAAGAGCTCGTAACTAAACATCGTAAGCGCCATTCAAATTATTATATAAAAGTTAATAATAAATATTTAGTTTTTGTAAATCTAAACAAGTCAGGAAATCAAAGAGGTAAATACTGATATCATTATGATTTTATAGAATTTATTATTATAAACCACGGTCGTATAATGCTAAAAAAAAAGAGGTAACTTTAAGATTTTTATCCATAGAGCAAAATTTATCTAATCGTGTTTTTAAACAGTTATCCCATTAGGTACACATGCGTTCTGTAATACAAACCCATCAAAAACAATACTTGTCAAAAAAAAAGTCTCACTACTCAATTGTTCTACGGTAAAAAGTGGTGAGATCCATGTAATACCAAGTCCAGTCCAGGAAATCATTAACGTTTTACATAAATATATTGACTTGGCTATCGCATGAAAACACGTGTAAATTAAATTATTTAGTGCGAAATGAAACGAAATTTTGCATGCCTGTGTAGACATGCAAAATTTCAGCTCATTGGGAAAACGGGAAGTAAGTAAATTTTAAGTTGCAAGATTTTACAACTCCAGATGTCAAAGAAAATAAAAGCTTGTAGATAGATTTACAAAGAAAAGAAAGATTTATGAAGAAAATAAAAAGTACTGTCTACGATACATTTGTTAGGCCGTGTTGCACCGTCTTACTTTAACATTGACATCAAAATTTTGGATGTCAAAAATCTTTCTAACATAAAACACCGGTTATTGTCAGTTAGGGTCAAAGTTAGGTGGTGCATCTCAGCCTTAGTGTATTTTAATTAAATTTAATACAAATAAGGATGACGAAAATAATCGATAAGTGATCTCACTCGAATATTTCTTATAGTAGGTATACAAGATGTCGAACAAATGGTTACTTACTGAAAAAGTGCTTCATGAGACCTAGCATGGTTCTGGTGAAGGTCGCGGGAAGTACCTGGATGCAAGCGGCGCAGGACCGGTCTTTGTGGAAATCCTTGGGGGAGGCCTTTGTCCAGCAGTGGACGTCTTTCGGCTGAAACGAACGAACGAACGAACGAGACCTAGCAAACGGCATCAATAATATGTTTTTAAGAACGAACTGAATCTATTCAAAAAACCTATATTTCCAGCTTTCATACATTTAATACAGTTACAAACAAACATGAAATCAATGGTTTCTGAGAATTCTGAGTGCCTTAATGCCGTCCCCTTTATCTGTTTATTTAGTATTTATTAATTAGTATCTCTTGATGATATTGTAGCATGTTAAACCTAAAATCATGTTTTCCGTAAATAATTTAAATAAGAATGCAATTTACGAGTTTGTTGTTTGATTATTTTATATTACTCAATTAAAAATTTAAATTTAAAAAATTAACACTTCTAATATGGTAGGTATGGCTGGCTGCATACATTTAGTATGAAATTCGGAAACATTGAATTTTCGCATAGATCCAGTTTATTCTTTGACCTATTTATTGTTATTGTTTTAAAGAGCTCATGAAGCACTTACAGGAACAGTAAACAGTTTCTCGATATCTTGTATAATTAAAAATCAAGTGAAATCACTTATCGTTTCCACCCTGTACCTGTACTTTTTTAAATAATCTCATTTTATACGTTCATTTGTATTAGTATCTACAATACAAATACCTAACCAACTTATAGTTTATGTTGCCAAATGACTTTTAGATTATGAGATGTGACCTGTTTTCTTTCTGTAATTTTCTCGAATTTTGACTATCTTAGACATGATAAAAATGCATTTTAATGAATTAAACATCAAAATTTTCTCAATACACTTTCTTCTTCAGGGAATGCTTATTCTAATGAATACATTCTATGTTCTTACTTAGAAATAAATTTGTTGTAATATTAGTTCAAAGTTGTGCCTTCGCGAGTTACCTGGAAATCGGGCTTTCGAAATTCGCTGTTTTCGTAGGCAAAAATCCAATTTGAACGAGATTTTGTCAATAGACATTCCGGAAAAACGTATGATAATTACGATGATATAAGTCAAAAGAAGCTATAACAATAAATTATATGACCAAAATCATTTCGAAATCTGCCAAATTCTCGATTTCTGCATGAAAAATGTGACAACGCTCTTAAATTGAAACCGACTGAAGTGATTGAACTTCAAAATTTAACTATCGTTATTAAAAATTAATGTTTAGACATTTGATATCCTTATTATTATATATATAGTTTGCTAGGGCAAGTGGACTAGGTGATTTAGATGGTCACCAGTATCCAAAAGTGGTATCAAAAATTTGAAAATGATAAAACTCAACGAAGGAAAAAAAGCTATTTAATCTTAATATGTTATCAATAGATCACGCGGTCATCCTACCAACCATAGTATCCTTCAGATATTTGTCCTGTCTTTCTAGTTAAACCGCTGCAACAACCAAGCGTTCGTAATGCCAGTGGTGCCCGCCCCCCGCGCGCTGACCAGCAAGTCGACCAAGGTGCAGCCCACAGTCCTCTTCTTCATCACCATACTCCTGGTACTGCAGACGGTCGTCAAGGTCGCTTTCGTATAGCACCTCTTCAGAGCCTGTGCCATGAGGTTGGATACTTTATCAGCTTTAGTCTTTACTTCATAAAGTAACCAACCAACTCTACTACACTTTGACTGTGCCAGTTTTTATAGCACTTTTTCGCTAATAAACTCTTAGTTTCAGCTCTTTTTCAAGAAAAAAAAGAGTCCACTATGCTAACGCTTCAAATTCCAGTTCGTTCTTCAGTTTTAGAAACTATCGAACGCTATATTTACAGTATTTTAGTTTGTTATGCTACAATATCTTTGAAGAATTGGCATAGCATCACGTAGTTTTCTGGTGCTGACTAATAATCATACAAAAATAAACAATTATGGCAGTTTACATTTTAGATACCTAGTTTTTAATACAATTTGGATCCAATTTCATGGTAAAGGTTCTGCAAATCGGATAAGAAACAAACATTTTAGAATGATTAGTTTACAAGGATGATTATTATCGTGAAGTCCGGCTAATATTGTTTTGTGCTGTATTGTCTAAGTTTGGGGTTTTATTTTGTCCAATAAACTTTTTGATTCTTATTAATTTGATTTTTTCATTTAGTACTTTTTCAGATGACTGTGTAGGAGTATACGTGGAACATGAGGTATTTGAAACTATTTATTCTCCGTAACCTATGAGTTGTTTAGTATCATTTAATATAACTAGTTGATTTTGTAACATTTGGGTTGCATCAAAGGTGATGAAACTCATGCAAAGTTGCAAAGATGCAAAGTTACGGAACTTTAACCGTTTTTATAACTATAACTGGAGTTCTTGTAAACAGGGTGTTAGGTAAATGAGTATATGAGCCGACACTAGCTTATGTTAACATGCTCATATAAATGGTATGGTGAAGTCAGAAAATTGATATCTTCATTTTAATTATTTAAATTTTGATACAAATCTGATTTTATAAAATTTATTTTGTATGAAAATTAAAAAAATTAAAATGATGATATCAAATTTCTGACATCGCCATACCATTTATATGCCCATGCTAACATGGGCTAGTGTCGGCTCATATACCCATTTACCTAACACCCTGTAGAGTTTGACAGACTTGAAGTTTGTTATATTTATTGTAAGATGGTATAATCCAGGGTTAAGTTTTTCAATATCCTAGTAGTGCTAACAAAATGTAAGAATAAACCTTCTGGCGCAGGCGGGTAAAAATGTGGTCTAATTAAATTGAGTTTCTCACGTGTCTTTCCAAAAAAGCCCGCCCCATATTCGAATCTTATCACCAATCCCTTTTCTGATAACAAAAACCTTTTGTAAGCTAATTTCCTCGGCAAACATTTCATGAGGTTCACACTTGAGGGGTCTCGGTCGAGGGGTCGCCTCCGGTTGAGGGGTCACTCGAAGCGGTCAAGCCGCTTCCGCCCAATTGAGCCGGCCGTGAATGTGGGTAGATGATTTATTCAGCCACAATGGGATGGGTTGAGAGATATTTTTTGCTGGTTAAGTGATTTTTTATGGAGACGCTCCCGGTTTTGAAAGTCTAATCGGATGAACGGTTGATAAGATAGTGAATCAGACTTTTTTGGTGCAGATGAACAATGGTTGTTCTTTACTGAAATGAAAATTGCATGATGTTCTCCTTCCTCTTTAAATAAATTAAAGGAAATTCAATTAATTTTAATAAATAATGGATTGCCGATTTGACGAATTACACACATTTTACTAAGTCTCGAAACCCGTTTCAAAATTGGAACTGATGAATGGGAAACAGTTTTGTTAATCGGTTATGGTGGAACCCTATCATTAACTCTGATGGTGCTAGCTGGTACGAGTAACGAGCTCGTAAGTTTTAGCTGATTTTTTAATGCAAAGAAAGGTTTTATCATTTTACTGATAGACAAAAATATTTTCTAAAATGACAACTGAGTACACAGAACTAAAACTAGCACAGTAAAGTTGCTCAACTGCCAATATTTTCACTGTTTCCATAGGATCATATCAAAATATTCAACAGTCTATTTTCACACCAAGTTTAACCCCGAACCTCATCACTTAAATCACGTGTGAAAACAACCCAAAGGAAATTCCAATAACACCAACGGTTTCCACCCCTGACCCTTCAGGGTTAGCCAAGAAGCTGGTTCACTTGTTTTGACATATGCGCCTTATTGCCTCAAAGGGTGACCACTGGATCCTAATGCTTTTACTACCGTCTCTAAGACGACGCAGTAGGGTTGAATTTTTATTTTTTGGGTGAATTAGGGATGGGATTTTCGAGGGTGGAAAATTGTCGATATCCGCACCGGACTCTGCGGTGATTTTTATTTGGCGTGAACAGGGGTTGTTAACACGCTGGCGTGAAGCGGTCAAAGTGAGGGTGTAATGTTTGGAATGTGTTGGATTCGAGCAGGGAAGTTTGATGAGTGCTCAATCTTTTGACGTCGTCCCTTCTTGTACGTTTATTGGCGAATGTGGGTCTCTTTGATTTTTAGTTGGATTTTGTTTGACAAAGGTGACTTCAATGCTTATCGTTCTTGATGTATTGACAAACGAGTAAAAGAGAGTTTCAAAATGGTTTCAATTTTATGATAGAGGAGCACTTGAAAAGTAAAATTAAAAAGAAAAATAGTTATAATAACTTACCCAAATTGATATTGACATTGACTTATTTATTGCCTTCGAACCATTAGGTACAGGAAGTTTAGTCTTACAACTACATAAACTACACCGAAGGCAATTGGACCTGGCTCAGTCTACTTTGTAGGGAGAGAGGCTTAGTCTCTAAGATGTTGAGCGAGAATGAAGTTATGAGGGCTTAACAAATAATATAAATATTGAAGGAAAACTTACTGCATAATTCTAATAAGTAAGTAAGCATTTATTTGCTGCACACAAAGTCACATACATAGTTCAACAAGATTACGTAATACAATATTTAACATGCACATTCAAAATAAAAAATAAAATAAAAAACAATTAGAAATGAAATAATGTGAGCAGAGTTGCGGCAGCAAAAGGTCTCCGTCTCAGCATGGGTCGCAAGCTAATGCCTGGACGCTGATTTTCAGACGGCGGCCGACGAAAGTGGAGAGCGGCGGTAATCGCCGCAGCAATAAGTATCCCTGAATTACCAGCGCTCAATGCACCGTTAAGTAGAGACACAATATCTGTTTAACAAAATTCCATAAATAGAGTGTACCTATAGTGTCGTAGAGACTACCGAATCGCGGTTCCCACACCTGGTGGGCCACAATGCGAGTGATTGATCGAACTATTTGGCACGCTCTGCCGGTCAACACCCAGGTTTGCACAAAGATAGTGATGTGTGTTAATTTTCGATAATGCAGGACTGGATATCAATGTTGTTGATTTAGTAAATCAATAGTTTTATGTAATTTTATCGACATTAAAATATTGAAATCTAGTTGTAAGTAGCCGAGATGGGTATAAGTAATACGGAAAATATTTCAAAGTCATAATGTTTGTTTATAAATGTCAATACTTTCAGCATGAAAATATTAAGGAGCTGATGACTTGCAATCTGTACTGTGCTGTATTTTTATGTATATTAAATTCTTACACATTTTTCGATCATAGGCACCCCCCTATGTTCGATAACCGCTATCATCGATTTGTATCAACATAGTTACGTCACTACAAATGTCACAAGCATTATCGACAGATGATCAATGATCCAGGGATGTATTTAGATCAATAAAATTATGCAAGATCATCGTTTATTGTGGGTGTCACGCGTGTTGACCGTTTTACTTTAGTTGCCGGTTTCTGAATTGTGTAATGTTTTGCAGTCCATAATTTGCAATATCATGGATAACGGTTGCAGAATAAGAGATTTTTTTGTGAGTCCTAAGGATAACTGAACTTAATTTATGATTTTCATCTTTATACTTACTTAAAACCCTACGAGTGTTAGATTGATTTCTTGAAATAAGAAACATTATGTGTACCGATACCCTCCTACGGGTTTTTACCAGTGGGTGTTTCCCAGTCAAGTAAAAGAAAAATATCCTTTTCTTACTTGATCCGGCCAGTGACCCTGTAACACCTACAGTGTTTTTATAGCAATTCTTCGTGCTACTACGCAATATTGGTACTCGTACAAGGAAGCAGTTGGTAATTCGATATAATTTTCTTTAATATAAAAATGATTCGCAATTTTACAAATTCTTTTTTTTTTAATGTTCGTTGAAGTCCAAAGATGGTTTTACGGCGAGAAAAAATCGAATAAATTCCGGGAAAACCCTAAAAATAGCCCTTTTCTTTTCCCTATACAAACTTTTTGTAATTAAAATGTAGCGTCAAATTGAACTTAACTGCCACATTCCAAATATTTTTGACAGAACTAACTGTATTCATGTATTTGCACCTACTACTTATAAGTATGTTTCAAATTGCGTTGCTAAGAACATAAATAACTGGTGTGACCAAACTGGTGCCTAAAATATCTCAAGAATTCCAAAACTTTATTATCCAGCTCGGAATTTAGTTGTTTTTCAGCGCCACAGACTGAGTATTATATCCGCGTGACGCGGAGTCCGGCGCGCGCGCATTCTTAGTGGACAAACAGATTGATACAATGACCCTTGAGTAAAGTCGTTCGTGTTACACCAAAGATAAAATATTAAGGACGTGTGAAGATGAACGAGATTATATTTTTACTATAATTAAGGTAGCAATTTTTGGGCGTGTTTTCTTTAGTAAGTAAACCTATTCCATGATTTATTGCGATTCAAATAAATGAGCAAAAAACTCGTCGTTAAGACTTGTTATTTTGAAACGGTTATTTTAAAAATAGATCCTTACGATAAAGTATTGAAATATTTTTTGTAGTCATTCGCATGATCTTGTTACAACACTTGGTCCGACTTATATTTGCTATGAGAATTATTATAAACTCTATTTTAACACGACTATAAACGGAATAATCATCTGTCCAATCAAGGGCGATTCCAAACATAACAAAAAGTGTATTTCTATTTCTCACTACGTGTCGGGCATCGGAACAATGCTGCGGCCGGACAAACACACGTCCGAAGAGAGTTGGAGCGCCGCCAGCTGACCGCGGCGACCCTCTCAAGTGCACGCATATACAGGGTAGTGGGAAACCAGCTAGTACTTATTCTGTAGTATTACTAAAAGTGTCAAATGCTGCAGCCGCCAGACAAAACACGTAAACAGCGAACCGTAGCGACCTTCATAAGCGCACTCTTGTACAGGGCGAGTATGTTAATGTTTACCTAGCTGCGACCCTGGTCATTACTAAATATCCTGCTTCGGAATAATGCTGCGGCCGGACAAACACACGTCCGAAGAGATTTGGAGCGCCGCCAGCTGACCGCGGCGACCCTCTTAATACAGAGTGTTTTACCTTATTTATTAGTAGAAAGAAACATTTATTATTAAGGGCCATCATTAAAATACTAACAGGTTAAGTAAAACAATAACAGTAGCACAAGAAAACACGGATAAAGAAGAAATAGTGGACTGAGCAGAATAACCCTGCCCTGTTTCACGCGA